AGGGTACCTTCCAACACAAATAATGAGGATTTGGTTTTTAATTGCATGACTGCTAAAGAAAGTTATAAACATGGATGGAAAGTTTGATATGCTCTTTGATTTATGCTTGGTTATAGTTATAGTTTACGAATTCACATGTAATCACAAAGAAAAAAAATCAGTTTTTGTAACATGCTTGAAGGAAGGAACTCAAACTAACACTACAACCTTGAGAGACTTGAGCCTAATACGTTCTTTGGAGAGTTACTAATCTGTGCATTTTTGTTTTCTAAAGTCGTTGCATGATCTCATCATTCTTTGCTTGGTTGCTACTTAGAAGGCGTTTCATCATTTAGTTCCAAATACTAGAACTTATGCCCGTTCCATTCAAAGCATGACATTGATTTGCATAACACATATTCAAGATGAAGTTGTGTAGTGAACTAGAGCCAAAAAGCTTATCCGTGCATATTTTTGTTTAAGTTTAACCCCGTTGAGCCTTGTTTAGCCTGTTTTCTTTGTTAAACCCACATTTCCCTTACCTAGCCTAGATTAGGACTATCCATACCCTTGTTTTTTTAAAGCATAGTGAAGCATGACTTAAAATGAATTCCTTTTGATTGTCCTTATGCAGAAACAAGTGTGGGGGAATGAGATTTTTTGTGTTTGTGTGCCAAAAGAAAGTAATAAGGCACGGGTTAGAAAAAGAAAAAGAAAAAAAAAAAAAAAAAGAAAAGAAAAAAGAGTTTGAAATAAGTGAGGAAAGGCTCACAAGTGTTTGTTTGTAGTTGAAATCGGCCCTAAAAAGTTGAATGAATAACCCCATTGTGTTTAAAGTTAGTTGCTGCATTCAAAGGAATTCTAAGCATCAATTTCATTACTTTGCTTATTATGCTTTAAAAACGTTTGTTTCCTTACCTTTCATTGTTAGCCAATCACCCCTAACCCCGTTACAACCCTTAACTTCAATCTTGAGTGTTATGTGTTTCAATATGTGGAGTTTGGGATTGGTACGAGCATATGGTGTCCCTGGTTCTCGCATCTAAGTAGTAGCATTCCAGTCATGAGATCATATCTATACATGCTTAATAACTCCAGAAATTGCTTTCTTTGCTATAAACATATGTGAGTGTTCGTTTTCATGTTTACATCAATCTTCTCACATACATCTATAGTGTAGGGTAAATAGTCAGAAAAATCAGAGTGAAAATAAGAGTGTATCTTGTAAGGAATTGAGCAAATTCTCTAAGGCATGTTACTACATTCAAAACATCGTTTTAATTGGTTATATGTGAACTAGTATGTGGTGACTTTGATTAAGTATGTGCTCAAGGGTAGGGAAGGCAAAAATCTGTGGTTATGATGATCTTTTGCATGTCATGTTGCATTGAAAATCCCTAAGGTAATTGTTGGAAGGTTTAGGTTTTGTTTTGTTCTTATGTTTTGTTTCTTTGTTTTGCTCGAGGACTAGCAAAAGCTAAGTGTGGGGGAATTTGATAGACGCATATTTATGCGACTTAGTTAACTAGTTTTCTTGCATTTACGTTATTAGTTCTTAGTTATTTTAGTACTTTAAGCCATTTTCGTGTGTTTGTAGGTCCAAAGGGCTAAGGTAGCAAGAAAGTGCATTTTGGTGCATTTTGGAGCAGTTTTGAGCTTGGAATGGATTACATATGATATGAGCAAGATGGATGGACGAATTTGAAGACAAAAGAGGCTAAGAACATGCTAAAAATCTGGTGAAACAAATACAAGTTGCAAGAAGGGATAAATTTCTAGAAGGATTGGCCAAAACTTCACTCAAAACACATCAATGTTGTGGCTTTTACTTCCACCTCCACCAGAAATTTGAGTAATGATGCAATGCTTAACTCACCATGACATGTGAGTGGATGATGCAATGCTTAGCTCACCATGACATGTGAGTGGATGATGCAATGCTTAGCTAACCATGACATGTGAGTGGATGACTCAATACCTAACCCACCAACAATTCCCACTCTTTGCCATGCTCACCTACTCAATTCCACCAACATTTTTGTGTTAAACAAGTCCATCCTCTTCCTATAAATACCATGGCATCAACCTCATTCAAATCATCCAGAAATTAACCATTCTCCAAGCCTTTCCTTGCCTCTCCTACATATCTAAACCCCTTCCCATCCATTCCTCCAAAATAACCAACCCTTCAACATCATTCCAACCTTGTTGTTGCGGCAAAGAGAAGGAGAAAAGTCCTTAGACGCACTTGCTATCCAACATAGATCGTTGGAACGTTTAGGTGCTTTCTTTCCTTTGTTTTTCAATGTTTAAAATTTGTTTATCTTTGTTTTGTAATAATGAGGAACTAAACCCCCCTTGGCTAGGGGGGATTCGAAAACCATGTTAATGCTTGCAATATGATTTGATTACTTTTAATTGCGTTTCATAAGTTATGAATTCGATTTACTTATCTATTTGATTGATAACATGTTTATGTATGTTGATTAGGGATGCATACTTAGTTTGCATGCATAAATATGATGCTAGAGTATAAGGGAATTTCACCTAATCGTTATGAACTTATATTCATGAGTAGTAAAAGTCGCTAGTCACGATTGTGTTAAGTAAATCCTTGGCATAAGTTTCATGCAAATCATAGTAACGAGTGCCTCGTCAATGCTTATGTTTTTCATAGAACTTAATGATTCTTGCTTGTATCTCTATTATGCAATTCATGTAGGGAACTTGTAGGGAATATTTTGGGTTGTCGTATGCAATCATCCAACCCAATAACTTGTGGAAAAACTGAGGGTAAATTAGTGCAATTCACGGTTAATTTGGGGCGTTGAGAATTAATAAGTTATTGAAATGCAATTGGAAATCATTTTGTATGCAAGCAAGACATGTGTGGAGAAGAACCCCTTAGCTAGCCTTCCATTATCCATTCAACCCAAATTTGTTTAAAATCTATTTAAGTTTTTAGTTTATTCGTTTTTACTTTCAACTTCACCAAACTCAAATCCCCCTTTTACTTTCTTGTTTTAAAATCTTTTGTTTACATTTTTAACTTTGTTTTTATGTTTTTAAATTAGTTTTCAAGTGATTTAGCAATCCCTCCTAATCCCCGGTTTAGAACGATCCCTACTTACATCTATACTACAATTGTCAAAAAGAGGGTTAAATTTGTGTGCTTATATTATTCGCATCCAGAGTTTAAAAATACAAATTCCATATTGAATTTCATTGTTCTTTTAGGTTAACCAAACAAGAAAATTTACAAATTCTAAAAAATAAAATCTCGTCCCTTCAATTTCTGTCATTTTAAAATTCCTTGGTAATCTTAAACTTCTTCATCCAAACATAGTGTTAGTTTGGTACAAATTTATGGAAGCCAAATCTACCAAGTTTGAGATCCGGACCGTTGAAATTTGATCCAATGTCTATAGTTGTTATAACTTTCATTAGTTTTCCTTAAATAATTTTACATTAAGATCATTTCAAAGTGAGTGGCTAACCCTAAAAGGTTCAGTTGAACCTTGTCAAACACATAGATACATACAAGGTAACCTGTAACATCTTTGGTTCGGCTAACTTTTGTTTTTTATTTTTTATTGTTGAAGTCAGTTGAAGTTATCACATGTTCGTCTACGGCTTGTGTCCACCAAAAAAAAAAAAAAAAAACCCACGCAAATTCCCAAATTCCAATTCCAAACCAAACAATTGTACAAAAAATTGGCCGATGTAATTCGGTATGTACCAGATAACGGTAATAAATATATATACAGAGAGCTTAAGGGGAGGGATCCCCATTTTTTGAAAAAAATGGGGATTAGGTGTGGGGCCCACTTCACATTAAATTTCAACGATCCGAACCGTCTATTTTGTTAGTCTCGATTCATAGATCATCCTGCAAAATATTAGCTAAATTGGAAATGTTTAAGACATCTAATTGGGTTCAAGGAAATGAACGAATACTTTGTTATATAAGAAAATATGAAATTTGATATTGATAATTAAATAGGCAAATGGTTTCGGATTGAATTGAATTTTTGCAAGGATGATCTATGAATCGAGACTAACAAAATAGACGGTTCGGATCGTTGAAATTTGATGTGAAGTGGGCCCCATACCTAATCCCCATTTTTTGGGATCCCTCCCCTTAAGCTCTCTATGTATATATATATATATATATATATATATATATATATCTATGACAACTACATTAACACATACAATCCATCATTCTCATCAAACAAAAAACTGAAGCAAAAAACCATCAGCCTTTTAAGAAAATTAACCTACAATTTCCACCCCCACCCACCCCAAAAAAACTGCAATAACAAAATTACCCCTACAATTTTCACTCCTGTCCGTCCGATTTGGAATTTAGACATGCAAAAAAGTAATTTTGCTTGCAGGTCTTTAGGCCTCCGAATGGGCCATTTCAGCTACACCCTAATCCAAGCCGAAGGCCACATTGGGCATAAAATCAGCAATCCAAAACAGAACGATGGCAGTACCGTAGTTAATTGATCGAGGCCCCATTCCATATGCAACATGAATGTATACGACTCTGCAAGAAACAATGTGTTGTTAAATGTGGTCAGTCCTCGCCTTTTTTATGAACACAAGAAACAGTAATGAATTACGATGGCAGTACCGTAGTTAATTGATCGAGGCCACATTTGAGATCCAACAAATAAGAAGTTTGCTTTTTGGTTTTACCTTTTAAATTTGTGTATGTTCTAGTTGTATTTGTAAAAGTTTATTGTGTATCTTCTGAATTACGAAAATCTTGACTTCTGAATTACGATATGTTTTATCATCTGGCCATTCAATTTTAAACTCATCATATCCAGTACCACAACACCTAATGATTTATTTTTCACCTCAATTTATAAGAGAGCAAACCAGCGTTTTTTGTTTCAGAATTTCCTCACCAACTTTTATGTCTGAGATCGCACCAAAAGGCAAAAGCCAACCCTCTCAGGTAACAAGAAGAAATGAAAAACTCAACCGCTTTTACAAAATCAGCAAACTACGGTTCAATCAATATTCTCACTTTCATGTCAGAGCACAATGAAATACTCATCTGCTTTTACAAGAGTTGAGTCACTCGCCCAATTTCAACTGGTTTTAGGATGAACCTCAACTACAATTATAGGACAAAAACTTCTATCATTTAAGACTTTAAATTGACAAATACGAAGTATCGATCGTGATGATTAGGTCTTCCATATTAACACTTAACTACTAAAAGAGAGGATTAACACTTAATAGGAATTGAATTGGGCGTGTTCAGTTACCCCAATAAATTCTCCACAGAGCAGACTAAAATAGGAGTAACATGTAGCTTGCAGATATGCCTAGACTACTTCAAAGTGAATTAGAGTCGATCTAATCATAAACCTGAGTAATGCACTGAAAATTTCTGGTTTGGAATCTCTGACGCTCAGAGAATAAGCAAAATGCATGCAACAAAGCCTCCATTGTTAAACCTGAAAAAACAACAGTATGTCAAGTTATTCTTTTCATTGGAATCCTTGGTAAACATAATTCTTTCAAAAAGATTGGACGCAAATGCCAATATCTTACAGATTTGTAATGTCATATTGTGAACTAGCACCCAACAAAATATTTACATGTATATTGCGTAGTATTTCCAAATGCTTACCAATTGGTAGCATTAGCTATTAGATTGCAGTGTAAACCTCCTTCTGAATGAACGAAGCCGAGTGATATCTCCCACAAATGTGAAGAACTTGTTGGAATCAATGCTTTTCTCTGAAGCTTTAGCCCTTACCAAAGACAAAATCTTCGATTAATGACTCAAGTCCACTTAAAACAAGTCTAGAATTTCCAAGCTTATTCCTAAATTCTATAACTTTCTCAACAATAATATCAGATGCCTTTGCAAGGTCAAATTGAAAATCTGCTGTTGAAACGGAAGGAAATGCCAGAGCGGAAGCATCATTTAGAGAACCATCACCGCCAACAGAGCCTACAACTAGCTCTTCACCTACCTTTGATTCCTTACCAGATTTTTCAGAAAGTAAACGTGTTCCTTTCAAAGAGGTTTCCTTTTCTTCAGTAATTTGAGAAGCATTAGAATCCGGTACACTCTTCAAAGTTGATTCAGTATTGGCAGGACCATCTGTTTTCTTTAAGAACTTCTTTATACCTAGTTGAATTTTTGCACCGGGGTTCTTCCGACCAGAATAACCATTGGGAGATGTATATAACGGACCAAGTCCACTATATGCATCAACGGAAGATTGAACATCACTCTCACTCTGGCAACAAGTAATTCTAGCAAACCCTTCACTCTTCTTTCTTCTGCAGCATTCTATTCACAATCGCCACAGCTTTCCTGCCTTGCACGTTTCCTTCATGGCTCGTTAGATTCTTTAGTGTGACCAGTACACGGGATGATACACCACATGTCACTAAACAAATGGTGAGATATGTGTGCTACAAAGTTAAAAATTTAAAAAAAAAAATTCTCACCATTCCTATTAAAACATGTGGTGTATCACTTGTGTTCCCGTCACAACTAAAAATTTCTCGTAATATACAAAGCTTGGCAGGAAGATCAAGCACCACAGCATGAACATCAACTTGGGAACTACCACCAAGCTTCACAAAATCATCCCATTTTTTCTTTCTCCACATTACACCTATCTATAAACACACACTACCCATCCTTCAACGCATTCATTGCACTATCTATACACTGCCCTTTCGTTCCGGCTTTACCATTTTTGATAGTATCCTACAAAAACATAAAATATGAACATATAACAGCATAAAACAAGAACCCAAATGAATAGAAATCCGGAGTACCATACTACGTACTGAAAATGGCAATCTTGAGCCCACTGCGACATTTCATCGAACACACTGTGTGCACAGAGATATACCTGGCAAATGCGAACCAAAGGGCGAGTGGAGCGCATCACATGTTCGCAGAAGGTAGACTTGCCGCTTCCAGGCGCACCCACCAATATTACTACGACAGGCTTTCCTTGTTTTTCTTCCCCCGTCAGAAGGGCGTACAGGTTTTATGATCACCGAAGGAGATGACGACTGAGAATGGTAAAACGCGGCGTTTTGGAGAAAGGGCATACCTTTGGCTGTTTCGTCGATATCCATGTCCATGTTTCGGAAGACTCTGCGAGGTACTTTTGAATTAACGGCGAAAAAGCAACGGTTTCTTCGTCCGCTGGGCTGGAAGCCCGAAGCTTCTATTGCCGGTGCCTGGTGCTTGCGTAATGGGACACATGTCCACATCGTCGACCCGAAAATTGACAAAATCCGATTCGATTTGGATTTTATCCATATATTAACCTCTTCGCAAACACCCACGTGTAAACAAAAAGTATTTTCTAATCACAATCCTTACGCGCCCGTTAAAGATGGGTTTGCTTTAATTATTTTTCTAATTGTTTAACATCGTTATTTCATAAGAAATTTGTGAGGACCTTTCCTTATCATGTTAGGCATCAAAATTTTCTTATCCTTTTCTTTTTCAACTGTCTTTTTGTGATAATTTTTTCTATAATTGTGTTAAGCCTTCTGTATTCCGGTAACCTACAACATGTTAAATCTATAGAAATTATAAACTTGATAATTACGTTCATAGCAAAAAGGCCTATACATACAATCGTGTTTACTTGATGTATAAGTAAGGATCTCTTCAAATTATGAATACAGTCATAACTAGATTACAATATTAATTGCTAACCCTTAAGAGAGACGATTTCCTTGGACAAAACTCATTCTCTTAATATAAAATAAAAGAAAAAAAGTGCAAGGAATGAAAAAGAATATGGAGTTAGAGTTACTTTGACACCATCTACAGAGAGTGCAAGGCCATTCAGAAATGTATTCCTTCAGACCTGTCTCCAGAACTATGACGTCATACTCTTCATCCATGCAATCCAGCAGAGAAACCGGATGAATATAGCGAGTATTGTGTAAAGATGGATATAACCTGTATAATATCCAGTAAAGATAGTTACACTGTGTTTGGATGATAGAAATAAACTTGAAATTTAAGGAAAAGTCGGAATTTATAAATTGACATACACCAATTCCCTTGTTTGGATTCATAAACATAGAAATTTAGAATTTTCATGTGGAAAAAAAACTTGGATTTTGGGACCTTCAATTCCTAAGTTTAAATTCCATGTAAATACGTGTCATTTCCCAATTTCTATGATTGAGAGTTTAAAAATAACAAATTCCGTATTGAATTTCATTGTTCTTTTAGGTTAACCAAATAAGAGAATTTACAAATTCTAAAAAATAAAATCCCGTCATTTTAATTTCTGTCATTTTAAAATTTCTTAGTAATCTTAAACTTCTTCATCCAAACATAGTGTTAGTTTGGTACAAATTTATGGAAAGCCAAATCTACCAAGTTCGAGATCCGGACCGTTGAAATTTGATCCAATGTCTACAGTTATTATAACTTTCGTTAGTTTTCCTTAAATAATTTTGCATTAAGATCATTTCAAAGTGAGTTGCTAACCCTAAAAGGTTCAGTTGAACCTTGTCAAACACATAGATACATACAAGGTAACCTGTAACATCTTTGGTTCGGCTAACTTTTGTTTTTTAATTTTGTTTTTTTTTTTTTTTTTTGTTGAAGTCAGTTGAAGTTATCACATGTTCGTCTACGGCTTGTGTCCACAAACAAAAAAAAAAAAAAAAAACCCACACAAATTCCCAAATTCCAATTCCAAACCAAACAATTGCACAAAAAATTGGCCAATGTAATTCGGTATGTACCAGATAACGGTAATATATATCTATGACAACTACATTAACATATACATTCCATCATTCTCATCAAACAAAAAACTGAAGCAAAAAACCATAAGCCTTTTAAGAAAATTAACCTACAATTTCCACCCACCCCAAAAAAACTGCAATAACAAAATTACCCCTACAATTTTCACTCCTGTCCGTCGGATTTGGAATTTAGACATGCAAAAAAGTAATTTTGCTTGCAGGCCTTTAGGCCTTTGAATGGGCCATTTCAGCTACACCCTAATCCAAGCCGAAGGCCACATTGGGCATAAAATCAACAATCCAAAACAGAACGATGGCAGTACCGTAGTTAATTGATCGAGGCCCCATTCCATATGCAACATGAATGTATACGACTCTGCAAGAAACAATGTGTTGTTAAATGCTCAGTGCACCAAAAGCCACTACCTAACAATCTTCATATATTTCATAACAACCTCCTTCTGATACAAGCTGGCTATTTGTAGTCGGTTCTCTACTAACCACCTAACTAACCAACTACTTACACAAGTATCAATCAAAAGATGACACCTGTCCGAGCATCCTAACAATACCCCCCCTTAAAACTGATCTTACAGATCACATACGAAATTCTGCAGAAAATTTACAACACAAAACTCAAACAATTTGCACACACAGAGAAATACAACACAAATTCAAAGATCAACAATTTTCGGGAAACTTGATCTTCAATTCATAGTAATTCTCCCAAGTAGCATCCTCTGTGGAGTGATTCTGCCATTGCACCAGAACTTCGGTCACTGCAGAGTTGCCTTTCTTTACCATTCTTCTATCACAAATCCGAATGGGAACATCTTGCAATATACCAGCATCCGTAATACCTGGCAACGGCACTGTGGTTTGCACATCTTCTCCCAAATGCTTTTTTAAACAGGACACATGGAACACCGGATGCAACTTAGAGTGATCTGGAAGTTTGATCTTATAAACTACATTGCCGATTTGAGCTAAAACTTGGAATGGCCCATAGAAACGAGGTTGAAGCTTGTGAAAAGGATGTGCTGCCAAGGAACTAAAGGGAAAATACAACGTTGTAATTATATTACAGGACCATTACTCAATGTTGGTAATTTGCTAGGCAATTTAATAATACATTGTGTTTGGAAGACAGCCAAACTACAGGAAAGTGATCTCCAATATTATTTTATATATTTTTATATATATAATTTTTTTTAATAAATAATATTATCTAAACTAATAAATTAATAATAACATGGTTCAAATTGATAAAAAATAATCTTGAGATCCTGAATATTTCTCATTGAGAGTGGCTATTATGGGAAAATTCCCATTGAGATTTCACGCTTGACAAGGTTGGTTGTCCTAGATATATCTCTATCTGAATATCCGAGGGACACCACCCTTGAGAGCCCGAACTTAAGCATGCTCTTTCTGAACCTCACAGAGATTTGTGAGCTCTATCTTGATGGGATAAATATATCAGCACAGGGAACTCAGTGGTGCCAAGCATTATCATCTTCACTCCTACACCTGAGGGTGTTGAGCATGTCTGGAAGCCAGCTCTCAGGTCCTTTTTGTCAGTCCTTCGCAAAACTTCAGTCTCTCTCGGTGATTCAATTGGATAATAATGACATCTCCGGTCCAATTCCAGGATTCTTCGCCAAGTTTACAAATCTGACAGTGTTGAGCTTGAATAATAACAACATTGCTGCTATGGTTCCAAGATTGTTTGCCAACTTTTCAAAGTTGACTGCTTTGAGTCTTCAAAATTGCAATCTTAATGGAACATTACCCAAAGAGATCTTCCAGGTACCTACTTTACAAACTGTTGACCTTTCGCATAATCTACAGCTTCATGGTTCCCTGCCTGAATTTCCTGAGAATGCATCTCTTCAATTTTTGGACCTAAGCTTCACAAAAGTTTCAGGGTTATTGCCGGACTCTATCGGCAACCTCAAAATGTTGTCCTTTTTAAATCTTTTCAATTGCAGTTTCAGTGGATCAATCCCAAAGTCCATGGCAAGCCTAACAGAATTGGTTTATTTGGACATGTCATCAAATATGTTTAATGGTTCGATTGATTCCATTTACTGGGGAAACCATGTTAGTCTCCAATCTTTATTTTTGGAGTCAAATTTACTCACTGGTACTATCCCGTCATCTATCTTTTCTCCTCCCCCTTTGCTGGTACTGACACTTTCCCACAACCGATTCTCTGGTCAACTCCATGAATGTTCTAATGTCTCGTCCCAGTTATCTTTGCTAGATTTGAGTTCCAACAATTTGGAAGGACCAATACCTGCCTCTATATCTAATTTTCAAGAGCTTGCATATCTTCGTCTTTCTTCAAACCATTTCAATTCGTTTCCTTCCAATGGTCATCCTTGTCAATTTGAAGAGTTGTATTTGGCTTTTAACAATTTGAGAGCAGTCCCAGATATCTTGAGATATCAAACCAGCATAAGAAGATTGGACCTTTCAGGTAACCAGATTCAAAAAGTACCCAATTGGTTTTGGAGCCTCCATTTGCTCGATTACCTAAATCTTTCTTCCAACTACTTGGTAACTCTAGCAGTTCCTTTTAACTATACAAAGGAATTCTCCACACTTGACCTTCATTCTAACCAACTCAAGGGGTCCATCCCACTATTGCATGCCAATTATCTGGATTACTCAAGCAATCATTTCACTTCTATACCGACTAACATTGGTGATTTCCTCAATCCCTCCACTAAGTTCTTATCTATTTCGAGCAATGATTTGCATGGGCTCATTCCATCATCAATATGCAATGTAATTCCTTTGGTAATTCTTGATTTGTCCATTATTTCTCTGAGTGGTACGATTCCCCAATGCTTGTCTGCTATGAGCCACCTTGAAGTGCTTAACTTGAGGCGAAACAATCTTACTGGAAGTATTTCTGATTTCAAATTTTTTGAAGATTGTGACTTGGTGTCTCTAGAACTCAATCAGAATCAATTACATGGTCAATTTCCAAAGTCTCTAGCCAAATGCAGTAACTTACAGGTTGTAAACCTCGGAAACAACTAGATAACAGATACCTTTACATGCTTGTTGAGGAACATCCCACCTTGCGTGTCCTTAGTTTGCGGTCCAACAAACTTTATGGACGCATTGGATGTCCCGACGAGAGCTATGGAACGTGGCCAGTGCTACAAATCATAGACGTAGCTCACAACAATTTTCATGGAGAAATACCAGGAAGGTATTTGAAAACCTGGCAGGCAATGATAAATAACGAAGGTGATGACCCGTCAGCAGTCCACGAGCTTTATTCTGAAGATAGTAGTTTGAATGGTTATCATCAGACAATAACAGTCATAAGGAAAGGTTTTGAAGTCGAACTGGTAAAGATTCTAACTATCTTCACCACCATTGACTTCTCTTGCAACAATTTTAGCGGACCAATTCCTAAGGAAATGGGAGAATTCAAATCACTATATTTCCTCAACTTGTCAAGTAATGCTTTTACTGGTGAAATCCCATCGTCATTTGGCAAAATGAGACAACTCGAGACCTTAGACCTGTCGCAAAACAAGCTGAGGGGGAATATTCCATTGCAGTTGGCAAACCTTACTTTCCTTTCATTCTTGAACCTCTCAAATAATCAATTGGTTGGCAGGATCCCAACCGGTCCTCAGTTTTCAACATTTACAAGTGCATCATTTACAGGTAACAAAGGATTATGGGGGCCTCCTTTAACAGTAGATAGCTTGTCACCACCACCAACATTGACTGGGAGTGTTCCGAGTTCTGGAAATGAGATTGATTGGGGTCTTATCAATGTTGAAATTGGATTTGTATATGGCTTTGGAGTTGCAGTCGGGTCACTTGTATTATGCAAGAGATGGAGTAAATGGTATTACAAAACAATGTATAAAATCTTTGTAAAGATATTCCCTCATCTTGAAGATAGAATTGGTCCTCACCGAAGACATGTCCACATAAATCAAAGGTTGGGACGCTGAAATTAACGATCATGGCGACCAATGCAGCTGGATTTCAAGCTATGCCTGGGAAATTTGAGATCCAACAAATAAGAAGTTTGCTTTTTGGTTTTACCTTATAATTTATGTATGTTCTAGTTATATTTGTAATAGTTTATTGTGTATCTTTATGCTTTGTTTTCAATAAATTTGCTTGTACTGTCGATGTTCCTAAAGTTAGCGTAATCTGATAAGCCCAAAAGAGAGTACCACATGTTGTTATGTATTATTTGTTCAAACTGGGTAGTAACATGTCAAGACCAACTCCATCCATCATAATATTCTAAAAAAGAATATCTTGACTTTGAATTGCGATATGTTTTTAACATTCTGCCATTAATTCAACTCTAAACTCATCATATCTAGTATACAACACCCAATGTTTTGTTTTTCACCTCAATTTGTAACAGAACAAACTCGCTCTTCTTGTTTCAGGATTTCCTCACCAACTTTTATGTCTGAGATTGCATCAAAAGGCAAAAACCAACCCTCTTAGGTAACAAATAGAAATGAAAAACTCAAATGCTTTTACAAAAATCAGCGAACTACTGTTCAAGCAGTATTCTCCCTTTGATGCCTGAGCATTGTTCTAAAAATCCCCGCCTAGGCGTTAGGCGGCTGGCCATTGCCCCGATTAATGCCTAGGCGGATGAGGCACCCGAACCCACCCATATTTGCCTAGGCACCTGCCTAGGTTGCGACTCACTTAGACAGAAAATAAATAACTTTCGATTTGCATTTATTTATTTTTTCGATAAATTGTAAGAGACTTATTGAATACTAGCACACACTCGATGCTTGTTTCCCATGTTTTCATTATGTTCCGATACTTCATAATACATATGTCATTCTATTTTGTAGTTGATGATGAAATTATATTTATTAAGTATAAACAAACACTTATTTACACGAAATATAATGGATTTACTTAAATCCGCCTAGGCACCCGCCTAGCCACCTAGGCGCTAGGCCTCAGCCCGCCACCCGACTAGCGCCTAATGTCTTTTAGAACCTTGTGCCTGAGCACAACGGAAAGTTAAGAAACCCTACAAGGGCTTACAAGAGTTAATCACTCGCCCTATTGTTAACTGGTTTTACAATGAACATCAACTTCAATTTTAGGACAATCTCTAACTTGTATTTTAAGACTTTTAGCTGACAAAGGCGAAGTATCTATCGCGATGATTAGGTCTTCCCTATTAACTCTTAACTACTAAAAGAGAGGGTTAACACTTAACTACTAAAGGATTTGAATTGGGTTTGTTCCTCTGTGAGAGACTTAATTGAAGGAAGTTACCCCGATAAATCCTCCACCATATCATAGTTACATACAACATGAGCATACACAAACCGTTCTGTTTTTCTTCCACCTATAATGGTATTTGTATTTGGTCGACTATATATTGGCTTAGTCAGTCAAAAACTAATATAGGAGAAACATGTAGATTGCAGATATGCCTAGACTACTTCAAAGTCAATCAAATCATAAACCTGAGTAATGCATGTAAGGTGGACTAATACAACATGGTTCTAGGATAACAATTTAACATGCATCAAGATAATTACAAGAAGAAGATGCATGATACTAACCTGCACCGATTGGAGACATGGTGGCTTGAGTTCACAGGTTGTCTTCTACTTCCAGTACTTCAAAATGTCTCTCTACCGTGAATAGGGTTTGGCGTGATTGAGAGTATAAGCGTATGGAAGCAGGGACTTAACCATAATATTTATATCATTAGGGTTTAATCACAACCAACCTATTATTGGTTGTGAAAGTCAAACCCTATCACTTAAGTGTTTAAGTCCCACCATGATACTGTATCTTTGTAGTGAAATCCATCAGATTTCTTTTAGGTCAATTGCAAAGGCTAAGACTCCATAATCCTTATTTCATTTGGACTATCAGATTACTTAATTTGTTAACAACTCAATAAACAAGTGGTCTACAACATAAGTAATCCAATACATCATTCATTGTCATTCACAACCTTACAATGCACTGAAGATTTCTGCTCTGGAATCTCTGACGCTCAGGGAATAAGCAAAAAGCATGCAACAAAGCCTCCAATGTTAAACCTGAAATAACAACAGTATATCAAGTTTAATTTTCTTTTCACTGGAAATCATACAAAAGAATCAAGCAAGCCCACCGAACCAATGTTTAGTATAGTTGTAGCTAGGCACTGACTCATTCAAGTGTGTTTATATGGAAGCTAATCTAAATTATTTGTTCAATTTATCTGGTTAGTAACATGTCCAGACCAACTCCATGCATCATAATATTCTTCAACTGAATCTGGACTCGTTCGATGTATTATATGGAAGTCAGCAAAATTATGGAGATGAGATTGATTGGGATCTTATCAGTGTCGAAATTGGATTTGCATTTGGGTTTGGAATTGTTGTCGGGTCATTGTTTTGTGAAAAAGATGGAGTAAACGGTAGTGTGAGCTTGATCTGTTACAATTTTATAATTTGATGTCGAAAGTTTTTAAAAGGTAGAAAAGAACGACATATTCAGGATCAAATTTTTCATAATGTTTTTTAATCTTCTTTTCGATACAAGAATCAGCATTACTCACTATCGAAATGATATATTCTTGAACAAATTTTCAAAAGTACGGAATTTGACACATAAAATACAAATCATAAAACTAAAATGGTGCTCAACAGAAGACAGAATTAAACAAAAAAGGTGATACAAGCAACATTAAATTAAACAGTTTTACTTAATCGAGCTTCATTTGACTGACTCTTCGCTTTTTCTTTTTTTTTAGGCCTTGGTTCTTAGCTTTTGCTTTTGTGGTTCTCCTCTTTGTTTGCATTGCTGATATCATGAACATTTACTCTGTTTTAGCTTTGATTTTTCTGGACGAAGACTTCCTAGTCAAGCTAAACAACGACAAATCTAATGGAGATATTTTCCCCAACATTAAAGCCGGCACCGCATCAATACAAGCTGAGCGGGGAAATCCCTTCGTATCGTGGTGAGCAATATTATTTTTCCATCACTAATCACATTAAAATAATAATATGTCCTTTTCCAAAAATTGACTTCCAATTCAAGATGCACGACTTAACAATGATTTCACATTATAAAATTAGGTAATGTTTATGTTACGTAACGATTCATTTGTGTTGTTGTATACTAGAGGGGATCAGTCAAGGGATAAACTATCATACGGCTTCGTGAACTTTGTCAAATTGCAATGGAGTTGAATCTCCTTAAAAAGAGTGAGATACACGTGTCTCAACCTAATAGTTTACGTGCTTCTTAGAAAAATATTACAATTTTCTTGTACTTTTCCTGACAAAAAATATATAGTATTTCTAATTTTCTATCAAGTTACTTGCCTGGCCAGAAGACTGGGTCACTGGAGCACAGCTGCTTATTTCAATTTAAGCCAATTTCCTCCAGTGACTTTGAATTAGTCGCTTCAAACCTTTTTTTCCTGGTTCGAGTCGGAGAAAATTATTTTAATGGTTTAAGACTTCAAATTCGTTTTCTCCATCAAATTATTTAGAATACATTTGATAATTACTTTTTATTTTTTATTTTAATGGTTTAAGAGCCATACATAATATACATATAAACAAGTCAATCCCCTTGAGTCACTTCAGATTTTAAAAGTGATAGATTTGATAGGATTTAAGAGGATTAAAGATTCATACAAAATTCATATGGATTTGAATGGATAGTTTGTAGATTTTGGTGGATTGTGATGGAAGGATTTGAAATCCTAGGGGGTGAGGTTGGATTCCTTTTAGCCTTGGTTACATATAGAAATCCTTAGAAATCCTTTAAAATCCACAACTTATAGAAATCCCCCAAAATTTGAATACACTTAGATTTGGATGAATTTTAAAATCCTTTAAAATCTTTTAATTGACTACACCTAGATTTTAATGGATTCTAAAATCCTTTAATTGACTACACCTATATTTTAATGGATTCTAAAATCCTTTAAAATCTTTTAATTTACTAAACTAGGATTTTAAAGTCTTTTAGAATCCTCTCAAATACAAGTTTGACTACACCCAATACGTTTGATAATTACTTTTTTTTTAAAATTAAAAATAGTTACTAAATGAATTTTTAATTTAAAAAAAGATAAATAAAAAATAAAAACGAAATAGTTATTAAATAACCTCTTAAAGCTTAAAAATCATTTTATTTATTATTTTTAGTTTTCACTTTTTGTACTTAAGATAAGGGAAAATAAGAGATGGACTGGTTACAAATGTAGATGTTGTGCAACTGGCTGTGCGGAACTGAGATCCAAATTACATCTACATCACAACAAACCACAGTTGAATAAAATGGGGCCCTGTGTGAAAATTAAAACGGGACCCTTTCACACACAAGACTTATTTTTTTGTGTTTAAAACAATTTTTTTCCTTCTATGGTATATTTAGAGCACTTTGAAAGTTGGGCAATCCCCTATGGGGTAGGCTATTCAATGCCCCAATCCCTCCAGCAATTGGCTCCAGCCCAATCCAATCAGCTAGGCTTCAGGCGAGCTTGAACTGTCCACCAGGCCGAAATCCATGGGTATAGCCCCCAAGCTGACGTCAACTATTAAAAAATTATAAAATATTAATAAATTAAATATAAATACAAAAAATATAATTTTTCTATAAATACCTAAACTTTCTTCATATATCAAGCACAAAAAAGTGAAAACCAAAGTCAATGAAATGGTTATCATGAAATGCTTTAATTCACTTGTAGAATTAAACACTATTTCATTAATTACCCCACCTGTAGATTTGTAAAAGAGATACTTAATCATAGTTTGAAAGTGCCTTTAAAATAACTGAAAGTACTTTTAAAGAAAATGTTTTTAAGTTCCAAAAGCACTTGAAGTGTTTTTTGGGTCGAAGAAGCACCACTTGAAGTGTTTTTTCCAAAATTCACTTGCGTTTTTACTAATAATTAATTCTAGAAATATTTTTACTAAAAAAACTTTCTGTTATTTTAAAATCACTTCTAAACAAGCTATTAAATAAAATCGAGAAGATAATACATGTATCTGAACGTGGGGAACACACTCCCTTGCGTGAAGTTTTAGCCCCTCTCTTGTCAACATTGAAAAAACAACCCACAATTTAAACCCCACAAGGAATATGGGGAAAGACTTTGAAGTCAACAAGTCAAGCAAACCTCAAATTTGGTAGAAACCATCAACCATGTTTT